GTGGGGGAAAAACCGCCGCTGATTTCGTAAAACATGAAAGGTACCGCATACCAGTCCGCAACGTGCTACGTCAACTCCTTGGTACTAAATTTTGGCAATTTTCCTTAACTATCACCGTTTTGCCCCACCTTCCCCTACTGAATGCAGAATCGTTTCTCGTCGCCCGTTACGCAATGCGGGGAAAAGTTATGCTTTTGAGGTTTCGGTAAGGAAGTAGGACTTAATGAAAGCGCCATCTTTGCATTGAAATCTCGATTGATGATGTCGGAGGTGTTGTTGGCTTAGGGTTTCTTGAGTCTGATTCTCCCACGAGCCAGTGTCGACGTTCAATAAGCTTCCCCTTCAAAGCAATGGTTATGTTTGGCAAATTAATACTATTACTTCTCCAGTGTCGTAAATAAAAAAAGGTAGCTATGATGTTCCAACAAGGAAACAAAGAAAACCGAGGAAAAAAACTCTCTCAACGTGGAGACCAACGTCGATTCAAGTCCAATAAATTTTTTCAAATATGAAGATTTTACAAAAGGATATCGTAGACGAATCTCTAGGGTGTGTTATAGGCTTCATTCCTTCTAATGCAGCCTGAAATGACTATTCAGAAACACTCGGATTCGGGCATAAAGTCGTGGGAAGAGCGCGACGGGTCTGTGGAGGCAAGGCTCCCCGCTTTTTCGATATGAAAAACTTGGCCCTCTCATTAAAAAATTTCAAGCTACATCTGCCTCTGAAAAATAATGTTCGTCGTTTGGTTTCTATTGTGCATAGAAGAGCGGTGAAACATAATTCAATCGTAAAATTCAGGGGATAAAATTGAAACCGGGCAGCAAGTGTGGGGAGCTTCTGGACTTGGATTTCTCTACTCATGAACCTGTTTCGTTGCCATTACCTTGATGAGTCTACATCTGGTTAAGTGTCATTTTGTTCATGGGACTTAAAAGTCGTGCTTTAAACTTCTTAATGATCGTGTTTTTCTTAATGAAAAAGAATTTCAATTCCCTACTCTGTATCACGGAAGACCATCTGACGTGGTTAACCTCAGTGTGCAACGGACACGCGTCTCCTCACGCCTTGCGACCTAATTTTTTTAAAAATGGAAATGCCCTTTGAAAAAAGATGGAATTCAAAGAAATCCGAAACAGATATTATATTTGTACTTAATGAACACATCAATGTCAGCCTCTATAGCTCTCAGTCCAACATTAGTTTGGCATTTTTTTACGAATTAAGAAAATTTGTTGTGTTCTTTCTTTAAACCACCATAAGGCAACTGAGACACGTCTGTTTCCTGAAAGACCAAAAAAAAGGTATTGGGAACTAAATTGACTTAAATCAATTATGATGAATTTGGCTTCTTTTTTAAAATTATTTTCCGTCGAGGTCAGCAGTAAATATGTTAAGACAGCAATGGAAGAACACGAATGATCATGCCGCATTCCAGATTGGTCAAGCACTTCTATTTGCCAACTGGTTATCAGCTGGACAAGACATTTGGTTCCTTGCTGAGTTTCAGTAGGCCAAACACATCTGCCTTCCAGCTGGTTACCAGCTGGAATTGATGTCTGCTTCCAAGCTGAATTCCAGCTGGTCAAAACCCATCTACAATCCAGCTAGTTACCAGCTGGAAATGGTGTCTGCTTCCAAGCTGTGTTCCAACTGGTCAAACCTATCTACTACCCAGCTGGATACCAGCTGGATCGGATCACTTTTTTTTATGTTTCCATACTAATTTCCAGCTGGTAAATTCAATCTCATTTCCAGCTGGAGCCCAGTTGGAAAATGTAGCTGTTTCCAGCCGGGATTTTAAACTGGGTTATTGGCTCAAAATCGAACATTACTCTTGAAAGAAATATTTCCTGGGAGATCGGCTGAAGTAATTAAGTAGTTGCAAACACTGATGGAGAAAGCATTAAAAATAAATCATTTACTGCATATACTTCGACCTTGAATGGTCCAGCATTGGATGAATGTTGGCCCAAAGTGGGTGTATAAACGGTGTGGGGCACCGGGTTGAATCAATGTTGAAGTAACATGGATGTAACAACAGTGATACATTCGATCCACACCCAGTCAACAATGATGCAACGCCTCATTCCAAACACGTCGGTGTCTATATCGGGGATGAAAATACCAGATTTGTTCAGATTTCAAACTCCTGCTTCACGTCACCTAGGCCCAGTAGCGCAACCCAGGTAGCACATTAACATTTAATCATCGTTCATTTGCCGTGGATCGAATGTTTCACTGTTGAAGGTTTATATTTCTATGGTGAATCAACGTTGATTCAACGCGGTGACCATCACCGTTTAAACACCCACAGTGACTCAACATTGAATCAATACTGCACTATTCACGGTGGAAGTGTCTACATTAAATCAGCCTCGATTCAATGTTTTCTCTTGCAGCAAAAAAATCCCTTGTTCTTTTTTATCTACCCTTAGGATTTTTTGTGTGTACTTCATCGTGATTCGTTTAATAGTTTAGCCAATCGCACAGAATACATTACGATCATGAGAAATGCTTGACTTAGGGCAGATAAGAAAGTGGCTGAAATTACGCCTGGCTTGAATTCTATCGCAGCAAACAAAAAGACAAAAAAAACTCTCGCGAGCATCTGACATGGTGGAATTGTCTCAATAAAAACGTAAAATTAGAAAAAAGTAGATTCAATAAAAATCATATATATTCAATATATACATACTGTATATACATTTTTAAAGCCAATTAATCGATTGACTTTGACATGTTGAAATCTGGCATTTATCTTGCTAATGAAAAAAAGTGCTTTTGTGAGGCCGGATCGGTGTGACCCATCTCTATCTCAATCACTATATATAAAGAAGAAAGTTTGTCTGTCTGTCTGTCTGTTCCTTTATGCATTCGGACCCTGCAGGAGCCAGTGCAACCAAACTTTGCAGGACCTCCTCTTTCATCCAGGGGAAGGTCGAGGGCTATGTTTCTATCCAAAATTTTCACTCCCAGGGTACTTTTCTGGGGGGCTGTATTGTCTGAGATGGCATTGAGAAGAGTGTTTATCGTCTGGATTCTGGTGGGGCAGTGGTAGCACACCTGACCAGTCAGGAGGCCCGGGTTCGATTCACGGCCGTCCCCAGCTTCTTTTTATTTGTCCTCTCATGCCATCCAACTCTCCCATCCCGGCCACCTGCATTACAGTACTCCGGGGTAATTCCATTTCTAGATCACTACAGTAGGTAGTAAGTAATATTCTTTTGATGAAGTTTTCATCGAAAAAATGTTTCAAAACGATAAAAGCATTTTACCAAGAAGTTTTTTCCCTTAAAAATAATTTAGAAATTATTCAAAGCGTGCAAAAAAAATTTTAAAAAGGGAAAGGGGTCCGAGAGCATTTTGCGACACCCAAGATCGATAACTTATAGGAGACCATAAGGCTTACGTTCCCCAATTTGTCATGCATGAAATATTGAATTTCCCCGGGCAACGCTGGG